CTCAGGGTGGTTGGGAAAGAAACTTCCTTGTCTAAGCACTGTTACCCTCCTTAAAATGGTGTGTTACTAAACTAGACACTACTGAGACCTACCCTGTGTGTAATGTAGTTTTTAAAAATCCTCCCCTTCATTCCTAACAATACGCTCACTTTCTCATAGAATGTCTTCTCCACTGTGGGCATTCTTGAAGGGATGATAAAAAGAAAGTTCTTTCCCACCATTACAAGAACTAAAAGGCCCCTAAAGGTTTTGGTGCCACATTTCCCACTCATTGTTCAGTGTAGCACAGTCCAAGTTGATCAGACATAGTCCCCTAGAACTGAGTCTAAACCAGTAATGTGGGAATACAATAAATCGCTGCTGTCCACACTTCCAAAGAGTGATGCTCTCATGAGAAGTTCCCTTGCCAGGAAATTGCCTCCAGGAAACTATAAAGCTTATTGCTTTATACACCTGTATCTTAATTTGTGACTTATTCTGTAGCGCTTCCACAAATGAATTTAGTTGCCAAAATGTTTTCAACAAGGTCCCTTTGCTTGATTAACGGGAGTGGACAACATGGTCAGCTCAAAGACAACCATTTTTCTGTTGCTGGCAACCCCAGAGCTCTGCCAGAAGCGTTGTCCTGGCGGTTCTGACAGTACAGCATGAACACGCAGACAAGGAGGGTTCCTTTGTGAAGTTCACGTATTAATGGAAAGCATGAGCACCTTCAATTTACAAAGTTCCATATTGGTTTTCATATGCTTATGCATTCTTATTTTTCAAACAGGCAAGAAAGACTATCTAGGACAAGTACAGTACAGGTGTCTGCATTATTGTGGTAGAAGAGAAATCTTGAATTCAACTCTGTCCAAACAACTGAAGGAATTGTAAGTGTGGAGACAAACTAAAGAAAACTCACTGGAGGGAGCTGAGGAAGAAGGTATCAATCTGATTTGGAGATCTGTGTTTGCAAATATATACATACATACATACATACATACACACATACATACATACTTGAAGTTGGGTTCACTGTGTCCCGCAGACTAGGAGATAGAGACACGAGATTTCTTGATGATTCATTTCAAAGGGATGGCCCCTATCTTTAAAAAGACATTCCTGCAATTCCAGTACCTGGGAGGCAAGAGGATCAAGAGTTCCAGACCAGAATAGTTTCAAAATTAGACTGTTTTTTAAAAAAGAAAAAAAAAAAAAAACAAGTGTGTACTAGGGGAGAAGGCTCTGTGCGTAAAGGGCTTGCTGTACTAGTTTGAGGGCCACAGTGCAGAACCCTCAGATCCACAGGCAGGTGAGGCAGCATAGTGCAGAACCCTCAGACCCACGGGCAGGTGAGACAACACAGGGCAGAACCCTCAGACCCACAGGCAGGTGAGGGAGAGACAGGATATCTGGGGCCAACTGGCAGCCAGACCTAGCCAGAATTGGTAAGTTGAGCTAGAGACTCTGCCTCAATAAATAAAGTGGGACACAATGAAGGAAAGCATTCGAACATCAACACATGCACCTACATACATGTGAACACATAAATACATACATACACACCACACACATATGCAGGGAAGATAAAAGAAAGGCTAGAAATAGAATTCTGTGCTAGAGCACTTGCCTAGCAGGCACAGAGTCCCAGGTGCCATCCCAGCACTGCAAAGACAAACAACTGAACCGACTCCTAGAGACTGGGAGAGCATTTACATTTTAATGACACTCTGAAAGAATGCACAATTCCAAAGGTTCTGTAAAAGGAAAAGGGAGGTTCAGAGCTTATTATCAGGAAGAAACCTATCTGCTTCCCCCGCTCCTCCTCCCCAGGCTGAAAGGGCTTTTAAAGCTATCTTGATCAATTATCTTTGATCAAGTCTAGCAAATGATGAATAGTTTTCATTTGTATTAATTCATATACTATAATTATTTGTTGCAAATTGACTCATACAGAAACTTTAAAGATTATGAGATTAATTGTTTAATTTTACAGCTGACCTAACTATCCTACTTAATTATAGATTGGTTTTCCAATATCAAAGTTCATCTGGGAATTTAAATTGCTCACTCATTTGTTGATTTAAGCAGAAATTGCCTTTGTGTAAAAGATCTTAATTTATGATTTTGGTGAAGAACAGCTAAATGCTTACTGATATGACCTCCAGCTTTCCAACAAAAATTTCTAAGGATACATTGAAAAGACAAGATTTCCCATAATTCCAGCTAAGGGGAGGCAAAAAGAATCTATCCATTGGCCAAATCTGGCAGAAATTGGTGAAAGCAATTATCGTTCTCACCCTGAGCCCACTCATTTAAACATAACAGCTAAGGAAGGATGACATGCCATCTGTTCCTATCTCAGTGACTGTCAAGGATTCTCAACCCTTGAGTCTTTGGGAACAAATTCCAGTAGTGTTCCCTCTTGGAAAATATTGGTTTCTGAAGTACCGAGGGCACTGTTTCTCCTCCTTCTCTTTCATTCACAACTTCTCTCCATTCAGTCATGCATATCCTGATATACACATGAATAATATAGAGTATCAGTGAAGTGCTGGACATTCAAAATATGAGCTTACGCTATTTCACTTATTTTACCTAATCAATCGAGGTATAACCTGGACCTTTCTCTGTTGTTCTAGATTCTTTGTGTCCCCTAAATGCTTAAAAGTAATGACCAGGAAGACACCAATTAATCATAGGTTTGAACTGTTGACAATATAGAAGAATCTTTCCCTTCCCTGGTCCTTTTACTCTTTCCTAGTTTCTCATATCCCTAGATGACTGGTAGATGAGCCATTGTGGATGGTCACAGCCACCTTTCGGATTTCTGAAAACACTGCAGACTGGAGTCCCAGTCAGGAACCTCTTGTGCCTTGGTGTTAGTGTTTTTGCCAGCATGCCCACAGACTCAGAAGAGAACGGGAAGCCAGATCGCATGCCCTGAAGCTCTAGCAGGCTTTGTAAGTTTGTTGGCCAGGGCTGAATAATGAGTATTTGTCTGTAGTATTAGAAATGGACTCTTGCCCTCCTCAAGCTGTCCAAGCTCCAATTCCAGCCCAACTAGAACCTGCATCATTTTCTCTCCATGAACCACTTGTCTTCCACCACACCCATGCATTAATCATTCTCTGTTGCAGCATGTGTACCTGATCTCTCTAGTCAAACATTCACCAAAGAGAGGAGACTACGTTTCATGTGTCTAACTTTCCCTCCACATGAAGGGAATAGTTGAGCATTGACTGTTTATTGAAAGCAGTATAAAATTCCTCTCCAGAATTTCTTGGGTCTGTCTTTATACAAAAAAAAAAGTATCAACCATTTTGTGGCCCAGGAAGGACAAATCAAAACATAATATATAGACATCTATCTGTGTTGTCCCTGTGATTTCAAACTGTTACCTAATTTGCAGAAAGTTTATTATTATTATTTTCGCCACAATATGTCAGGGCATTAGAGACAAGCTGTGAACTCAACATCCTAGTGGCCGCAGAACAATCAGGATCCTATTACTTGTCGATGTTAAATACAACTGTGGACATTTTACAGCCAAAGATCCCCCAAATCTAATCTTTGGAGGAATGCATAGGTTATTTTGTTGATGGTGCCAATAATATTGTTTTAGATTTCTGAGTTGCAACCAAATCTTGTCCTTAATTCTATTTTTGGGTGGCAGTAACTTAATGCTATCAATTTCAAAGACATATAACATGCAGGACAGTTTGGCAATCATTTATGTGCTAGTCCTTTCACACACACACACACACACACACACACACACACACACACACACACACACACACACACACCGGGGGGGGGGGCATAGAACCCATCCAAAACAAATACAAAAGCTCTCTCATCCTGCTTAGCCATAAAACACAAAGCCATGGGACTTCACTTTCTTTGCATATTTTGTCATCTTCAGATGGTCCTTCTTTGTCCCAGGCCCTTTCACACTGCTTGTCCTGACCTACCCTTCAATTCTTCTTATTGTTGTTTTGTTTATTTATTATCTTTCTGTTTTTACATCCCTATTACAGTTTTCCCTCCCTCCTCTGCTCCCAGTTCCTCCCATCTCCCCCACCACCCATTTCTCCTCCTCTATTTCTCTTGAAAAGCCAACAGCTTCAGCTAGTTCCTGTTCTGTTATGTTCATCAGGACCCTGCTTGCTACCCCCTGGGGGACTATCTTGGCTGAGAAATAGTCCCCACCATGGAATCCTTGCATGTGTGAATAGATGATTCACCCTTTCCTCAGAACATGTTTAAATAAGGGATGTCAATCAAAAGGAAGCCTTGAATGCTGGAGATTTTAGGTTTCTTTTTTTTTTATGACAGGCAAACAAGGCAGGGATGTTTTCTTCAGTTCTGACCTCATAGCTTTCCTATCTGCTTCTTCTGTGGCTATCAAGGCAGCTAAGGATCCTGACACTTTGGTCACCTGGAATTGTTTGCCTCTCGGGACAGAGCAATAAAGACCTTGGCCTTGTTTGTTTGTTTTAGAACATACACACACCACTTTTGAAACAAAATCCCCAATGTTATGGATATTTCTCCCTTAATGTATCACACATGGGCTTCAAGCTCCTCTTTAAAAATGAGAAAAAAAACCCACTGGTGCTGGAGAGGTGGCTCATCAGTCAAGAGCAGTATTTACTGCTCCTGCAAAGGACCCAGGTTCGATAACAGCCGCCCACAAGGTAGCTCACAACCACCTGTAACTCCAATGGCAATGGATTGGAAGCCATTTTCTGGTCTCTAAGGGCTCCTGTATGCCTGTGACACAGATCCATTCACATAGGCACAGACTCATACTCATAAAAACAAATAAATAAAAGGATTGTCTTTTCTTCATTGTCTTCTTTCTACCTAGCAGAAAGCATTTAATAAGAAGGTTTTTAAAAAATAACAAATAACAATGAAGAAGAGAATTATTCCAAGCTTACTATTTACTAAATAAAATTTCATTCTGCCTCTCCCAAAGCAATTATAGAATACAAGGTAGGGGCAGATTTGCTTCACAAATTGAACATTTCCCCCAATCCAGGACTGGGAATCAGGTGAGCATCTCTGCTGACATTTATTGAAAATGATCTTTGTTTCTGAATGGAATTTGTTTTGATTTCTGCAGGCAATGCTCTTCTTATAAAAGTCGGTGCAGCTTCACAACCCAAGGAAGAGGATGTATGGGAACAATCATCGAAGTCACCTGCATGAAAACAAAGAACATTTAAGGCAGGCTCATGAAGGATTTTGCACAAGGAAGATAGATATGAAAATATCATAGAATGATGCCGTGAATAAGTAGAAAAGTGAAGGTTGTGAAAAATAGACTGCTAACATAATTGTAGGGGAGATGAATTCATTCTGACAGCACCGACTAGGCAGCAGGTACCTATGCACTTCCTACATTGCAAAGTAAAGTTAGTATAACTGACTTTCATCTTAAACCTAGAGAAGACCATTCTTCACCAAAGCTTGGAGAAGTTCTGAAGAACACAGCTATATTCCCTATAGATTTGATAGAACTGTTCTGAAAGTTTGAAAGCACCTGGCAGGACTGTGATTAGTAGATGAAATTGTGCTTGCCACAAGTTTGATGGCAGTATCTGGATTTGAGTTTTAGAACCTGTGGCTGTTTCCTGCTCTGCAGGCAGAGTTATAGCCACAATCTGTGAGTACTTTGAAACAGGCCTTAGGCCTCTTGATTCGCCAGGACTGTTGCTTGGTATAAGGGAGTGTTAAGATTTTCCAACACGTATTTGCTACTGTTTCCTCTGAAGAAAAATAAATGTACATTTGGGATACATTATTGCTAATGAATTAAAATATCCTTGGGACAGTAGGGATACCCTTTTGCAAAACTGACATTTCCCAATCATCCCCAACTATTAGTTACTAAGGAGATTCCACAAGTCACGCATTCTTTATACTATGACAATCCAGGGCTTCCAAGAAGAGCAATAAATAGTATTTAGCTGGTCAGACTGTGATGGGAACCAGTGGCTAGTGAAAGATTGTTTCCATGGGTACCACTAACTTTCCCATACAACAGTGGAGACTAAGACTATGTAGTGTGATTCAACCAGCCTTGTCTGCTCACTCAGACTTGCAGCTAGCTTGTAGAGTTATGCATATTAAGGATAGAAAGAATACATCTCTAAGCAGGTCACAAAGTTCAGGACACAACCTGATCTTGAGCCAAAGACTTTTTAACACACCATGTAGTTTCCAAATCAGTTATAGGCCTGGAAAATAGAATGATTTTTTTGAAGTCAATGTAATAAAATCTAAAAGTGAGAGAGGGAATTCTGCCATTAGCACTGTGAAAGTGACAGGGTGACCACAGTCAGGCTATCAAGCTAATCTGTGTATGTGTGAAGTGGAAGCTTAGTTTGGGCTTTAAGAAAAGCAAACACAGGCTATTGCATCATGATCCAAGGAAAACAGAATGCAGTCAGCCCAGTGTCAACTTGAGGATCTTTCTTTCTTTCTTTCTTTCTTTCTTTCTTTCTTTCTTTCTTTCTTTCTTTCTTTCTTTCTTTCTTCCTTCCTTCCTTCCTGTCTTTCTTTCTTTCTTTCTTTCTTTCTTTCTTTCTTTCTTTCTTTCTTTCTTTCTTTCTTTTTTTCTTCTTTAGGTTTTTGAGATAGGGTCCCATTATGCAGCCCAGGCTGGTCTCAAATCTGGGAAACCTTTCTTGTAAGCCTCCTGAGGGCTGGAATTATAGGCATGTGCTACTGCATTCAGATTTTAACTTACAGTTTTCAAAAGTTCTTGATCCTTTTTACTTTACTTTTACTATTTTTCTTTATTTCAAGAAGGCTTTCCATTCTTAACTTGTAGACCCATCCCTTTCCTGTAATTTCTCTCCTAATATCCCATCCTCAGGTCAATATCTGTCTCCACCAAGAAGCAGAGATTCCTGTGGTAGTAACTCAAGAAGTATTAATGGTAAGAGGCAGTAGCTATGATCTTAGTGATTGTCCATAGGCATTTTTCTTTACCATGATTAAGATTCCCTTTGAGTAAAATGAGAAATTTGATCTAGACTATGTCTAAGGTTCTTTCTGATTTCAATAGTCTCTGACAATTATTTTTAAGACCCTTTGACAGGCTGGAGAGATGGCTCAGTGGTTAAGAGCACTGACTGCTTCTTCGAGATGACCTGGGTTCAATTCCCAGCACCCACATGGCAGCTCACAACTGTCTATAACTCCAGTTCCAGGAGATCTGACACCCTTACATAGATATATATGTAGGCAACACACCAAGGCACACAAAATAAAAATAAATAAATCATTAAAAAAGAGCCTTTGAAGTTTTTAAACTTTTTGTCTCCTCTCTTCCCATTAGTCTAACAGCCCATCAGTCTATACATACTTTCTCAGCTAAGAATGAGTCCAAATATATCCATAGAATATAGATATATTCTAAAGGTATAGAATATAGACATATAATATAGAATATAGATATATACAAAATGAGCTCCATATATCTATAGAAAAGCAATACATATATAGAGAGAGATTAGATTTAGTGCTTACCTGAATATGTATCATATTATATTAATTATATTATATATCATATCACATGTAATATTATACAATATAGTATTATGTTACATTATATATTAATTATGTACTTGCTTTGAGGAAAAGGTATTATCTAAGACTTAACATATAGTCTCATGTTATTGAGTATCTCTGGAACACAAATACAAACAAAGTGCCTTGTGCTTTACCATTTGGAAAGTTTATTTCTGAAGGAGTGCTGGGCACGGATCCCATAGATTTGAAAGTGGAATTGGTTATTGTTGACTTGAGCGATGGTGTCAATAATTTGGACTCATAGGTTTTCTTCAATTTCTTCTGTTTATACCTAACATTTATCCCAAACCTGTTGTTCCCATCTGAAATGACACCAGAAAAAAAGTTAAATGTAAAATTCATCAAATTCTACACTTAAAATGGGTGAGACTGTGGTCTAGAAATTATACTGCCTTCAATAATACCATTAAAATATGAAGTCCAAGAAGTCAAATGCTCAATGTTTGTTCATTCTTGGAGTTGGCTTTTCTATGAAATTATGAGAAGTACATTTGTACAGTGGTGTGGATACATGAAAAGCCGATGCACTTACCAAGGATGTCTGCTTTCCCTAAAGCATAAGGACTTGAAGGTCACTGATATACCCAGTGGAAAAGATCCCTGGGTGACACTTGTAGACTCCTAGAGCACAAATGTTGCCTCCCTAAAGGAAGCAGCCTGGGCTTTGAATGGAGACTGAGACAAGCTGCCAAAATTAAAGAGATCATTTGATAATAGAACAGCAGTTAGCCTGCACTGGAGATGTCCTCAGGGGAAGTGCCAATGTTGAGAGGCAACATTAGAGGCTACTGTATCTCCCACTTGGCAGAGAGCCCCATCAGAAGAGCCACCCAGGCAGCTCACTTGTGAGGCATCTTAGAAATGCTGACATGTTCACTCCACTTGCTGCTCACAGCCAATCAACCTACTGCTGGCTACCGGCCAGAAGGCCCTCTGACCCAGTTCCTGAAACACATTAAGTACTCAGTCACCATTCATCTAACTGAATCACAGAACATATGACAAGCAACCCAAGCAATCTGGGCCCAAACAAGAGCTCTACCAGGTTAAAATATGGCCCAAGTCACAGTCTTCCCTTGACTTCCTTCATCTTAGCATAAAAGCACAAATTCATTTTCATGCCATGGAAGCAGCTTCTATTTTGGTAGTCTTGTCATATGAATTTGTTAGGAGACAAATTAATATGATCAATTCTATAAAACATGTACGGTTTAAGATCTCACCCAAGTTGACATCTTACCTGAAAAGTTATCTAGCCGAAACCACCTGCAATGGAGATGCCTTTGCCACTGCTCCCGCACACTCTCCTTCATCACACAGTAAAACACAAAGATGAGGAACCCTAAGCCAGGAGAACAAGATCAGTTTTTGTACTTTCTTTCACAAGTTAGCACCAATCCACTGACTCAGGCCTTTTCTTGTCACCATCAATGCTGCTTCCAATCAAGCTCAGGAGCACTGTCTTTCTGATATTTTTAAGACCTCCCCAAAGGCAGCAATAGCACAAAGTCAGTATTAAGACTTCACAATCACCACTGTTTTCCCCCTAGTCTGCCATCTACTCTAGAGTGCAAGACATAAGGGCTACTAGGATACTCAGACTTGGAGAGAGCACTCAATGTTCCCCATCTTCACGTACTGACATTCACATCCTTGACATGCAGCATCCTCTCACATACCAATGACATGTGGCAGAAGTTGTGGTGTGTCACTTCACTAAGCTACAAAAGACATCCCCCTGCATCCACTCCCTCTTCAAGAAATCAAGCATCTTGTCTTGACAACATCTTGGCATTCCTATGCAGATGCCTACATGGTGAGTCCCAGCTTTGTGACTGAGTTTTCTCATTCTCCTCATCCCTGGACAAGGCCTGAAATTTCTGACCCTCAGACATTGTATAAGATTAGAAATGTACATAGTGTTAAGCTTCTGAATTTGGAGGATAGGTTGTTACACACCCATAAATATCTGAAGCACATGATCTTTGGCATAACTGAAGCATGTGCAAAGCATGTCCAGCTCTGACTTTGTTCAGCAAGTGAGAGAAGTGCTGGAGATCTCAGTTGGTAATGTGAGACATTTTTCATCTCCATCTTGTAAAGTAACTCCTGGGGAAATGAAAGTAGGACTTAAGATGATCCTAACTGAAAATTCCCTGGAGGGATAATTGGATTTCCTCAAGACGGGGGTAGAATTGGCAGGAGTAATTCTTGTCAGTACTCTGACTTTTATTTATGGTCCATGCCTAAAATCATTATCCACAAAGCCCTTGCAGATACCTCAACCTGAAAGTACCCTTCCCATTTCTGAACTGCCATAATACTTTGCCTCTCATAATATGTGCCCTACTTAGCCACATAATTCTCTGCATATTGTCCATCTTATCTTCCAGCTGTCACGTTTTTGAAGGTCTGGCTTCTGTCTCATTTTCATCTTCATATCACCTTTCCCTTTGCCTCCAGCCCTATGTGTGGCAGCTCAATAGACAGTTGTTGACTTGAACTTCTAGGCATTGACACATAAATTCCCATTGTCATCTATAGCCTCAGCAATATAACTATATACTTGTTTGGACCTCAAAATATATTTTTGGCTCAAGTGCTGTTGGAAATCTTTGTTCTCTATAAAGAGTCCAACTTGCTTCTCTACACCGGAAAATTGTCCTACAGGTAAATTATTCCTATCGCTCATTGCAAACTGAGCACAAGTCAAAAGGGTAAATAACTTCAAACTTATATCAACTACTACCTTAGTGGAAGTAAATTTCTTTTTGCTAAGTACTAGAGATTGAACATAGGTCCTTATACATGCTCGGAAAATGCTCTACCACTGAACTATATCCCCAGCCCTCATTTTTTAAACTTTTATTTTGGAGCAAGATCTCACTAAGTCCCAAGGATGGTCTTAAATCCCTTGCTCTGTAGCCCAGAAAAGGGCTTGAACTTGCAATTCTCCTGCCTCATCCTCCAAAGTAGTTGTGATTACAGGTCTGTTCCCTGAGGTCCAGCACAAAGTCAAGAATCTTGGATTGAGGCAAGTGATAATCTGCTGAAATTTACGTTAGTTTGACGATACCTCCCACCAATTAAGTTCAGAGGAAGGGCTTTGTTTTAAAAGGATGCTGACAAACAGAAGTATTCAAAAATAGGGCCAACTAGCATGATGATGGACATGAGAAAAGGCTGGGGTTTTGTATCTAGATAAGTAAATACTTGGGGTAAGTGATAGCATTAGTCACAGATCTGATAGGGCTGTCATAAAGACAAATTAGGCTTGTTCTGTAGGATTGCCAGGACGGGACTAGAGGTGGTGGGAGGAGGCTCCAGAATAGTCATGTACTAACAAATCAACAGCTAGTGTTTACTAAGCAGTGACACTGTGGCAGGCATTGTGTTGTTATCCACATGATTAGAGGTGAGAGCCTTGGGACTCCACGATGCTTAATAAAGCTTGCCTAGGTCACAGAGCTTGCCTTGAGTTGGCAACATCAGCACTGCGCAGGGGCTGTCTGACTATAGAGCCCAAGGTCTTAACCATTGCACTCATCCAAGGAAGAAGACTAGGAGAAGAGTCGGAGAGGATCAGAAGCTAAACGCACTGCTTCATGGAATGGCGAGCTTTCAGTCCCTGGGAAGTTGCAGGAAGAGTCAAGTGATTTTCTGTCACTTGATGGAGGGTTGGATTGGCAAGATCCTGGTTCCCTGGTCCCAGCCCTGAGACTCCCTGATTCCAGGTGGGAGGCGGCAATCTGGAGGCATGTCTCACTAACTCTCCCAAGGGCCTTAGCACTATGTAGAACCAAACAAGTGCAGTGATGAAATTCAGTCGTGTTGTCTCTTTCTGCGCAACAGTCACCTGGAAGGCAGTGCAGCAACCTGAGGAGAGCAAGCCTCAGCCTCAGCCTCAGCCTCAGTGCCTCTAGCTGCAGCATGAACAAGAGACAACAGTGACACTGAGCACCTCTTGCTGCTCTGATCTCCTGCATGCGGTTTTGTGAGTTCTCCTACTTAAAGGTTATTCTGTGAATTCCGATGAGGATGAGCTGCCAGCTCTCTCTCTCCTCCTGGCAGCTTCCCTGTCTTTCCCACAGCACATCAATCTGCTTATTCACTATAAGGTGGGCATGAGGGGAGATGCCAGGTTGGTTGTTTGCTGGTTTGTTTTGTTTGTTTTTTGCCGTCAGCATTTCTATGTGTGTACCCTCTCCTTCACAAATGGCTCATCATAGGTGAAATTTTTCTCTCACCTGACCCACAGGGCATCCACCTTTCAGTCATGGTTGCAAACTGACCACCTGTCATATAAATTGCTAATTTGTTCAAATGTCTCATTACAGAGCGCGCGCGCGCGCGCGCGCGTGTGTGTGTGTGTGTGTGTGTGTGTGTGTGTGTGTGTGTGTGTGTATGTATAACTTGACTTTGAAACTCAAGGTTCTGAAAACACCCTTGCTAGACAATGGCCCCATCTATATTGACTAGGAGCACTTGATTGACAGAGAGTGTGTCTGACAGACAGACAGCATGCCTTTGTTCAAATTGGTTCTATAAGACTCTCGCTTTCATCTTTAAGAGAACACTTCAATAAATTCTACATACCAGTTTTCCCTCTGCCAAGGGATGGAGCACTGGCTGTTTCAAAATTACCTCCTTCCTTTTCAAGTTTTAACCAGCTTTCTAGTTTTCCTTCAACCCCACTTTTAATACTCAGGACAAATTTCTACTCAGATTAGTTAGCCAGAGAGCATCCTGGAGTTAGCACTGAGAAGGGAGCCTGCACAGGATCTTAATCCACTTCTACAGGCACCCTCTACCAAGGTTAGTTAGCTCTTGTGACATGCTAAAATATCAAATCAGAGCACCTCAGTCTGAGCCAGGTGGCTTGGTCCAGCGTGGAGCCATTACCTCAGTCACAATCAAGTATCAGCAGCCACGAAAGGCACTGAGTAAGCATACATCAAGAGTTCCTAAGAAGTTCATCTCTACTGCCAGATGCAATAAGACGGCACATAAGGGGCTGGGGAGATGGCTCAGCAGGTAAGAGTACTGGCTGTATAAGCATGAAGGTCTGTTTTCAAATCCTTAGCACTCATATTAAAAGCTAGAATGGCACATACACCTGCAACCTCCGTGCTATGCAGGGTGGAAGTAGGGGGATTGCTGGAGTTTTCTGGCTGACAGCCTAGCTTCAAGTTTCAAAGGAATAAGGAATGAGTGCTAGAAGAGATCAGCCTGTAAGTGTGCCCATGAACCCCCACATGCGCATATCGGAGAGAGAGAGAGAGAGAGAGAGAGAGAGAGAGAGAGAGAGAGAGAGAGAGAGAGAGAACAGAAGAAAACAGCATGGTTTATATTTTCACATATTCTACTCAGAACTTTGGTCCTAGACTCTGAATTTTAGCTTCATTTCTGTGGGACTCTGCAACTTTCTAGCCTGAGGGTTTATTAAGATATATGATTCAATTGGAGCCTGTAGAGTTATAAGTTTAATGTCTCTACTATCTAGTAATTGGTATATTCAACTAGACCATGCACTTCAAAATTTAAACACAAGCATGAATCTGTATATCAGCAAACTGTGTTGATTTGATGAGTACTGCACAAAATCTTGCCAGTCAGTGTTTGATGCAGACATTACCAACTAGAAAGAATTGTGCTAGCTTATTTAATCCTCCCTCCACCCCTGAGTAAGAGAGAGAGAGCTGCAGATTCACTCAACGAAGGCTAACATCTAAGTAGTATTTCCAAAGACCACTTGTTGACCCGTTGAGAGCAGGGATCTCCTGATGTATATATTTTTCCTCCTTTAAATTCTGATTGGTGGGATTATTTTCCAAAACAACAAAGCTTTCTAGCTAGCCACAGATAGGGCCAACATGCAGCAGTTACCTTGCAAAGTATTACAAATGGCAAAAAGATACATGAAAAAGATCCTCACAGGTCCCCAGGCAAAAAAGGCAAACCCCCAAGTGAGGCCAAGTAAGAATGTCAGGCTGATTGTGCCTTTGAGGTCATTCAGGATCATCTTCTTCCGGGTCTTCTGGCTTTGGGATTTCACCGAAGTCAATTGAACGAGAACAATGCAGAACATGGAGAGATTCATGAGAAATATGAGGCAAAAATAAGCCACCACCGAGATGTAAAAGATACGATCATCTTTAATCCAACAACTGTGTGGAACAAAGAAGAGAAGACTCTTGTGAGGCATAAACATATACTACTATTTTCTGGGCACTCTAAGGTCACCTGGTCAGTTTCAGTGGTTCTTAGGACATCTAGACCTAGAGAGATGAAGCAAGACAATGGTGTTCACTCATGCCCCCTGGAGGCAGAGCTGGGCTTAAACCCTATTCTCCTGAGCCCTACTTTTGGGTACCTTCCAATGCAGGCTAGACTCCTACAGGGCACATATACAGAAACCTCAGTAAATTTCTCTGAGAAATTATATTCTTCTTCAACAAGAGAAAAACAAATGATGTATTTTTCCCCAAAGGAGCTCTCCTCCCCACCCTGCACACACCTTAAACCAGAGCTTTTATTTGCAAGATGAATTCTGCTTTGCATGATAAATATCATAATAAAAGGACATGAGCAAGCAAGAATATTCCTGAATGCGATATCAAACAATGATGAGATGATCAGAGTTAATGAAAATGCAACAAAAAGAAGACAGCTCTCGTTGTACTGCTTTAAAATATGATGCATTTGGACCACAAAAGGCAGCAGTGGCTACTGGATAGCTTAATGCTTCTACGGTTTCTATTAAAGAAGAGATGTATAGTGGTTCCTGTGAGCAGATGCTTCATTGAACAACAATTCTAACTAGGAGACGCATTGCTTCTGAGTTTTGAAGGCAGACAAGCTTGACTAAGTCAACTGTGTGTCTAATTAGCTGGAATCTCTTTCTGAATGCAGAAAAATTCCTTTGGGACATGTTGTCCATACTGGCACATGTCACTGTGTGTGTGTGTGTGTGTGTGTGTGTGTGTGTGTGTGTGTGTGTGTGTGTGTGTGTGTGTGTGATTTAGGAGGGTGAGGGGAAAACATTTAATTTCCCTAATACAGTCTCGTATTTAGGATTCTCATTCTATCCTCTGCAGCCTCAAACAAACTCCAGAAAACTCTCAAGATGAGTCAGCACTGTATTTCAGGATACAGAATCATCTCCAAGTGAAAATATCAGTGTACAAAGCAACATACACATAAGTGTGTGAGAGGGCACTCACACAAAAAGTGGATCATGGGGCTAGAAAGATGGCTCAAGTTAAAAGCACTTGTTGCTCTCGGAGAGGACCTGGGTTTGATTCCTAGCACATACACACAGTGGCTAACAACCATCTAAAACTCAAACTCTAGGAAACTGGATGTCTTTTCTGACTCTCTGTGCACCAGAAATGCGCATGGTTCACATACATACATGCAGGTGGAACACTCACACACATAAAATAAATAGATCTAAAAGAATTGTTAAAGTTGATCACATAGAATGGGAGAGCAGATTAGCAGTCATCAGAGCCTAGGGAGAGGAGGCACAAAGCTCCAGCAGAGGGATTTGCCCCTGTGTTCTACTGCACAGTGTGGAGATGACAGTAAACAATACTGTGTGGTATATTTCAGATTACTGAGAAGAAAGGAATTTGAATGTTGACACCCAAACAAATAATAAATATTTGAGATAATGGATATGTTCCTTATCTTGATTTGACCATGATATGATATAAATCTGTATTCAAATGTTTTTGCTGTGCTCCACAAATAAATACAATAATGTGTCAAAAATAAAATAACTGTCTGGATGTCGTGGCTCAGGCTTGTAAAATCAGCAATTTGGGAGGCTGAGGCAGGAGCACTGCTGAGCTTGTAGTCAGCCTGAGCTACCCACCAAGCTCTAGGACATCCTGGGACGTACAGCAAGACACAATCCAAAACATAAAAAGGGATAATAAAATAAATAAGCCAAAAATTGTGTGCAAGGAAATGGCCACATGTTTGACTACTGGTGATAGGAGTTACCTGAAAGGAGGGAAACTTTATAGCTGGGCGTTGGGAAGAGGCTTAGTTCTCAGCCTGCACCCTTTTGTACAATCTGTATTTTGTACCCTGTAGTGAATTACCTTTCAAAGTATAATTATTTACAAAACAAACCTCTTAGAGCCATCTGCCTCTTACTAACAAATCACATATGAAAAGGCTCTTTGGGGGTGGGGAGTGCGGAGTTGATTTTGTTCTGGTTTTGTTTTTGCTTTTGATCTTTGAAGAAGAATCACTACAAGACAGATACTGGGGACCTTTTAAGTCACGAAACAGGCAAAGAGGGAGGACAGAGCTGGAGACAAGGAAGGAGAGAGAAAAGAGAGGGAAATAAGAGAGAACTAGGCATTTTAATTAGAAAGCATCTGCTGCAGAGGGCAGTGTAATTTTGACCCTCTGCAACTGCCATTTCAATATGAAAGACAGAGGAGTGCTAGATACAGGACCTCCTACACTTGATCCCAGCACAACGGGACAAGAAATCTATAGTGGCCGTGATTTTGAGAAGCCGTGGTAAAAGGAATGGATATGGGGAAATTAAATAAAAAGATTGTGTAGCCTGAAGGGTTGTGTAGGTCCAAATAAGGCTCCAAAGAGATGGAGTGGAATAAAAGGCTATTCTTGTGACTGTAGTTGAGAGTCAAAGAGATGGGCTTATACATCAAATTTTTAAAACAGAGAGAGAAAAACAAAAAACAAATAGAGAACAATAAATCTGGCAGTTTACAATGGGAAGATTGTCAGTCTCCTTCTGGGAAGACCTTTGTTGCTAAAAGACAGAACATGTTTTCTAACTCCATCTCAGTATTTCTGTAGACTAGCCACTAAATCCTTCGTGTGGTCTGTGAGTTTTTGCAACCAAAAAGGACTGGCAGTTCCATAGCATTTGCCACGGATCAAGCAACAGGTCAAGAACTTTATATAAGCAATGTCATTTTAACTTGCACGTGACACTGAGAGCAAATTACATTAGCCCCATTTTCCAGAAGAAATGCATCTAAAAGGCAGAATGATTTGGCCGTGGTCATACAGAATCCAAACGCCTGCTCATTCCACAAGTGAGCATAGCGGTGTTCTATCAAAAAGGCTGACATTGAATCTTCCATGAAGACAGTGCTAAGACTAAGTCCCTGAGCAGGAGCATCCCACCTTGCCTAGAACACCTACTGCCTGAGAGCAAGAGATATTGGTACTTACAACGGAGTTGTTGGGCTCAGAGTTCCATACAGGTCTTTTCTTATGCTGAGTATAATGGCCACTGTGATTGCTGGGATTCCTAGAGTGGGCAAGCAAGGCAAAAGAACCTGTTCAATCTGAGGGGAAGGATCCTAATCAAACAGCTGTGGGGGCTGACACGTTAAGACACTGCTTAAATGAGCTACAGATGTGTGGACATCAAAATACCATTATTTGCAAAATGTTTATGAATTCTTCCAAGTTAAATTTTTCTAGGAGTTTTCCAATCTACTAAACTAAGCAGTGTGCCAGTGGCTCCAAAGTGACATTTAATACTTATTAAAAAGGCCCAAGTGCCAAAAAAATCAGTTCGGCAATAGAAGCATCTAGTTCATCAGAATACAAGCCTACACCACGCATTTCTTCTCAGATGATGGGCCACCATTTTTTTCCTGCTTTTCAATTCTACCCCTTTGTTCCCACTATGTCTTTGTCTAGGTCACCTTGGAGGAAGGGCACAGACATCAGCTGCAGCCTTCATTACTTTTTTGACAGGCAAGCCGTTTCCACACTCGTTACTAGTTTGACATTTTGACTAGATCGACCAGTTAACAGCCGCTCAATTCAGCCACACTATAATAAAGCAATCAGCTCAGTTAAAATGGTCAAACGTGATGGGAGTATGGGCATGGGCTATACAAATTCAATTTCATGTACAGTTGCAAAACTGAACTGATTTTTTTTTTATTTCTAAGCTTGCATTTCTCCTAATGGGAGCACATACACCCACACACCCTGTAGGGGGATTGTAAAATACTCTGCAAAGCTATTCCATTCCTCACAGTGCCAAGCATCTTGAAAAATCCTCCATTGCCCCAACTATGATAAACAGATTAATCCTTTCCAACGCAGCTAGCCCACACCTGGCAGAGTGCCTACCCTCATGCACATATTTTTTTTTCATGGATGTGAAAGAAGAAAGGGATCTATTGGTGGGAAGAAGAGGACCAACAAGAGGAGAGCAGGGAGGATGGGAGGGGACTACTGGAGGGAGAGGAGGATGACTAATAATAAAGTATAATACATGTAGTATGAAAATACCACAATGAAGCCCATTACTTTCTATGCTAGCTTAAAAAAAATATCCCCCAGAAGCTGTAAGACAAGTCTGAAAGGAGGCCTCATATTTATGATTAAATTATGTAGAAGTACTCAAGTTTGCATGTTCATAATTTTTTTTAAAAAAATTATCCCCACTGGGACTGGCAAGAAAGCTCAGCAGGTTAAGGCACTTGCTTCCAAGCCTGAATTTAATCCTGAGGACCCACATGGTGGGAGGAAAAAATAAATTCCCTCGAATTGTCACCTGACCTCCATGTACCCACACATAAAATAAGTAAATATAATAAAAAAAATCTTTCAAATATCCTATTACTTGTTCTGTTGGTTTTTGTTTGTTTGGGGTTTGGATTTCTGAGGCAAAATACCATGCTGGAGACCCAGCTGAACTAGAGTTCAGTATGTAGCCTAGGATGGCTTTGAATCAGGGATGGCAGGTGTGAGGCACCATACTCGGTTGTCAGTTTTTCTAAAATGTGGGTAAATCTACTTTCTTGGACAGAAATTTAAAGGCATGCACCTTCATAACAGATTGCTTTGGCTTAGGAAGACCAACTGTTAAATCTACAGAGATCCTAGTATTTGTTTTCCAGTTGATTTTATAATGCTTCCAAACTCCCTGCAGCAGCTTAGAAGTACCCCTCCCCCATGACCTTGTGTGCATCCACATAAGCCATGCCTGCAAAGGCTTGCATCTCAGCTTATCTCAATTTTGACAGAACGTATTAAGGGTGTTCACCAATGGGAGAAGACAAGAGCCTTGGGGGTGATATCCCCTACTTTCCCTCTTTCCTCTGGGAAGTTGTCACAGACACTTTCTTATCACCTCCTGGGTCTTCAGAGGTGTGGGGCTTTATACTCTGCTCCAACTAAAATGGAGCTGTAGAGTAGAAAAGCACATAGCTCCCATTTAGAACTGACCCCTCAATCATGGAGAATCCTACCACTTGTCCAATGTCATCTGTTCCCTTTCTCTTTGGTGTTATTCTTTTCAGAGCCTGGGGTGAGAAGTGGAGGTCTGCAATTTTAGCTCCTCCACCATTCACTGTGTCAATAACAGATGGATCGAAGTGTACCTCACTGTATCTTTCTCAGCTGGTTAGTCAGCCAGACCTTGGCCTTGGCTCAACCTGAGCTTGTGATTATACTTGACACTTTTTAAGATTCTCCTGCCTTTGAGTACAATTTTTAGCCTTTTCTGCCTTCTCCTGTATCTTAGGGAATAGTATAAAATAAGATGCCTCAAGAGACAAACAAGCTGTAGGAACTGTCACCGTGTATGGCATGGAGTAGAGGAAGGAGGAAAGATCTGTGAGTGGATCAGACAATGACTGGTTAAGAGAGAGAGAGAAGGATGCATCCGTACTGAGTTCCATTCCCCACTTCTCCCAGGGACAACAGTGGTCTTGACAGTCACAAGGGGTGGTAAGGGCCCAATCATGGCTGTCTAGACACAATGTTATCAATTTGAAGTCTTAAGCAATATGGCAAGATCATCAGTATTAAAAGTTCAAACTTCGGAGAGAGGCTGCCTGGTTCATATCTTGGGTGTGTGTTTTAGCAAGTACAACCCTCTCCCCTCGTGTCTTCAGTGAGAATAATAATGGAATCCATTCTATACAGATGCAGTGAAGACTATATGGGCACGAAAAGCACTTAGAATATCAGCTGGCACCTAAAATGGAGAGCTGACCACTCACTATTACATCAGTAAGTATTGTCGGTACTTCTGTAAAGGGAAGACTAAAACCTCACAATGTTGTTATTATGGATCTAGCCTTTAGTACAGCACATGTGTAGGTGTTCAATAAACATTTGTGTACAAACTCTTTAAGGTTTTAAAGTTGAATGTATAGAACCACATAAGCAGGAAGAGAGATGCACATCCAAACTCCAGTGATGCAATCCTTAATTCCTGAACTACACTAGTAAGAGATGGGTCCAAAATAGCACGCCAAATGGTGTCTGCTGTACTTTGAACAGGTCCTCCGAAGTTCATATGGTGAAAACTTGATCTTCATTGTCTCAGTATTGAGAAATGAGATCTTCAATAGTTGGTTAAGTGATAAAGGGCCTGCCTTCAGGAATAGATTAATGCTTTATTGCAACAAATCAGTTCACATTTTTTCAGCAGTGGGTCCCTTATAAAAAGATAAGTTCTGCCTTTGACCTTTTACTTACCATCAGCTGGATCTTAGAATCTCTCTCTTTGTAAATTACCCAGTCTCATACTGTCTAAAAGAAGAAGGATAAGGAGGAAAGAAAGAAAGAAAGAAAGAAAGAAAGAAAGAAAGAAAGAAAGAAAGAAAGAAAGAAAGAAAGAAAGAAAGAAAGAAAGAAAGAGAGAGAAAGAAAGGGAGAAAGAGAGGACAGAAGGAAGAGAGGAAAGAAGAAAAGAAGAATGGATGGAAGGAAAGAGGGAAGGAAGGAAGGAAGGAAGGAAGGAAGGAAGGAAGGAAGGAAGGAAGGAAGGAAGGAAGGAAGGAAGGAAAAAAGAAAAATAGAATGAGGTGAAGCTAATTTTTTTTTTAAAGACAGTATTTTAAAAGAGACATCAAGCACAATAGCAGAATACTCACCCCAACCAGCTAGACAAAATTTCAGGATATAATTTGGAATGTATGTATTGAAGACTTTGACTAGAGCAAAGTACATGTGGACTGCCTCCAGGCCCATCCAAGTCAAAGACACCAGCAGAAAGTAATGAAGTGCCACTGCAGCTGTGATACATAGTCCCACTTGCTGAAAAGATGCCATCCAGGAATTAACCAGAAATGCTAGGTTGAGCATCAGTAATGCTGTGCATAGGTTGATCAGGATTTTGGAAGGATAATCTTTTCGAAGTTTGCTTTAAAACAAAAAAAAAAAAACAAATGTTAGGACAGACTCCCTTCCAAATTAAGTACTACTACATCTTATCTGGATAGTAAAGCAACAAGAGTTGTGCATTAGGGGCTCATAAGACCCCAGGCCTCTCTGAGGAGCTCTGGGTAATAAACGGTTGTTGCAATCTATGGGAGTTATTGTGGCTTCATCTTCTTGTGAACACTTTCTACTGTTGATACTTGTCATTCTGGTGGGTGCCCAGGCATGTAACTGTGGGGTTTAGATGTTTAGTTGTTTGGTTGGTTGGCTGGGTTTTATTGATAATAAAATGAAAATTTTTGCTTGTTTAATTTTTTTATTCTTGAGAATTGCATATAGCTCAGTAATGAAATACCATGTCTACCTCCATTTCCCCCTCCCACTCCTCCCACACTACCCCAACTCATCTCCCTGTCAACTCAAGGTCAGTTTTTAAAATAATTATGATTTAATTAGCATTTTTGTGATGAGTTGTGATGTTGAGAAACTTAGCATATGATCATATACTTATCATTTGGGTTCAAATTAGGGCTGCCCATGGGCAAACTTTTCTGTGAAGTATTCATTCAATTTTTTTGTCCACTTTTCAATTTTCTTTCTTGTTTTTTAATGTGTGTGTGTGTACACACACACACACACAAACACATACACACACACACACACACACACACACACACACACACACACACACACAGCAAATATCCAAATATCATCTCCCAATTTCTGGTTGCCCTTCGCCATCTTAATTTTTTTTTTCATCTGATGAAAGGGTTCTTGTCTCTAATGAAATTTTAGACTTTTTCCTTTTATCGTCTCTGTCCTTGTATCAGGGGAGAGAGATTTTACTCGCGATCACAAATCTCTCACTTTTAAAATACTCCAGTAACAGTTATTTTCCCCACTTCATAATCTGATGATGTAACCTCTTTCTGTTGTATTATATTCATGAATTTAACAAGATTTCAATGACAATATATCCATCAGATCAAATTAAACTTACTCAGAGCTACGTTGTATAAACTTACTGGAAAGCTATGTATGTCACCATTGCAATCCCCAGGAAAATGGAGGAGATCCCACATCCTGTATATGTTATAATCACTAATATCCGTTCATTCACTGCATCCACTGTAGACCTGGACAAATCCTAGAATTACAATATTGTAATGCTTTACACATTTACCAGAACAAGTTTCGAGGAAAATGCTTCTGGCGCTCACAAACAGGTGATTCCCAGGACATATAGCAACTCTGTTATGCTCTTATACAGTCAGATGATGTGAATGGATACATGATAAGACCACATACAGTTTGACCAGGCCTAGTACAGCTTGCTGTGTACAAAGCATGGAAAACCATCAACAACACTGAAAGAACATTTAGTCCCGGATTTCATTGTCATTAACATGTTCAGCACTTGAAAATATAACCAAGCTAATGGATTTGAATTTGGGATGCAAAGTGAATCATTATCTGAACTGAGTGTCCCCAAAATACTACACAGAACATTAAAAAAAAGAGATGTTCCTTTTCCTAAGACCTTTAATAACTTTTATAAAATTAAGAGGTAAACTGGTCCTTTGTGTACAGTAATAGTCCAGTCATGTCTTAATCTGAAGACCACCAAAGATCTGCAATGACATGCAAAATTATTTGAATATAGAAGTACACTGGTTCGGGAAGAAAGTCCATAGCTTTCATTAGATGCTTATGGTTCTATGCCTCACAAGAAGTTAGGACATTTTTATAAAAGCTAGGAAGTACTAATCTATTCTGGGAAGTCTCAATTAGAAGGAACCTATGCCCCCTGCTGGGACATTTGCCGGCACCTAGAAATAGTTTTTGGTTGTCACAACTGAGGAAGGCGCTAGTGACATCAGCCAGGTGGAGGCCTGGGATGTTGCTGACCATCTTATAATGCACAGAACTATTTTCCACACCATAGAATTATGTGTTCTCAATATCAATAGTGTTGAGATAAGAGAAACTCTCCCTTCTGTCATTCAAACCTCAGAAGAAAGATCTAAGTTCCAAGCAAGTAAGACACCTCAAACCCAACTGTAAAGGTAATTGCTGACTAGAGCTAGAACATGAGCATGAGGCTTTTGAAGTCCATTGTAAAGCTCTAGCCAGTTGGGAGTGAGCCAAACAAAATTTTCACAATTTGGCTTTTAATATGTTGAATAAAAATTTCAAAGGGAATGCAAAACATACTCAAGGCAGGTGTGGATGGGCATCCCTATTCACCCAGTACTTGGAAGGAAGTTATGCCAGGAAGATCATGAGTTCCAGACCAACCTGGACTACACACTGACACTGTATGTTATACAGAGCTTCTCAGCTGTCACGGAGAATGTGAGGAATGGGCCTTAGTTTTATAAAGAGAAAACTGAACACCTGTTTCAATTTTCTCTATTATAGAAAACACAATGGGAGGAGAGCCATCTTTTTTTGCTTGTATACCATTTTCCATTATTTAGTTTACATGTACATTAATAGCTTGAACCTACTAAAAGTTGTCAAAATTCCATCGAAGAGTGATAAAGAGACAACTCACCATTAAAACTCCAAAGTGGGTGAGGTGGTTACACTGACAGATTGTGTAATTTACGTTGGTTTCCTTTACTTTACAGCCTGATGAATTCCATCCACCTAGCCCATCTGCGGGGGACAGAAGGGAATTTCAAAGCAATTTCACTTTTCTCAGAAATGTTTAATTTTTCATTACATGAACCATCCGAACGTGTGTTATAATTAGCATTGTTTGTTAAGACAGCAAGATAGAGATACAACTGAACAGCGAAATTAAATTACATTTAATAGGCCAAATTGACGTGTGTGTCACAGGTGCAGGGGGGTGGGGGCTTTGTAAATAGTCTAACTTCATTGTCACTCACTTCTCCTGTTTCTGTATCATACCTCTGCTGATTAAAGTGGATTCTAATCACGAGCAACTGTTCCTGCCACCATGCTGGAGTGACGTGTTATGTAAGTAGCCAATAAAATAAATAGACAGATCTAGAAGTTTCCGAAGGACCTAGACCTTTGGAATATAGGCTGCCACTTAGCCAACTCAGCCAGTTGTACCCAGAAACTAAATGGGGTCACATGATCATGGTCTAGAGATTCTTTCAGCTCATTAGAGCCTTGTAGATCTTGGCTTCTAGAGCTTGTTTAGGGTGGTAGTGTGCCAAAAGACCTATCTCAGGACAGGTATCCAGGTGTGAGCAGCATAGAGAGCCAGGGGCAAAGGGTCTCCTGGGAATGGGATCAACTCATTGAAGCTGTGGAGGACAGAGCTTGTCACTTTATAGGACCATTTTAATGACAGATTTGGGGGGAGCCAGGGGAGGACATGTTGTTTCTGCTTGTCAGAAAGAGGTAGTGTTCTGTTCCCTGAGGAGCTGAATAGAAAGAGAATGTCTCTTTTCACTTAGATTTCTAGATGGGAAAAGTACCCAAGCAGAGCTCCCTAGGTAGAAGAACGTTTCTCACCACCAGCCATGACATTCCTAGGAGAGATTGGTGGTGTAGGAGAATTCTCTGAGATTTGGTATTAACCCTAGGGACTCCAGTGGAGGTAGCAAACCTGAGAGAAACCCAGTCAGCAGTAATCACACCCAGTACCTTCATAGGTGCAGTTATCCAAACAAGAAAGGCTTTTCAGTATTAACGAAGAAGTCTCATCTCCTCAATGGGATAATTAAAAGATTGGGTCCCTTAGAGGGCATAGGGCCTACCCAAGGACTCACCCATCGTTATAAAAGAGGGAGAGAAAGTAAATAGTGATGATCATTGCAAGAAAATACACCTAAAGAGCCAGGTGATCACTCCCCAGCCCTCTTCAAATAGTTCATAGTTATTCGACACTGGACGTTCTTAATTGCATTTTTCCCAATCTTGCTTACCCATAAGTTGGGTTTTTTTTATAATTTCTATAATAGGTGTCTTGCCAAAATGAATTTTCTTAAATTTCATGCCCTAAAAATTCATATAGAGTATCTTGGTCATGCAGAGTGCTCTGTGGTGTCTGATTAGACAACAGCTACACAACAAGCCCTCTCCCTCAACCACCAAACAGGTCAAAGTCTGCTTCCATAAATACTTACTGTTAGTGTCAAAATCCCAAAAGGCACAGTAAACTTGATCATAATTCTGCAAAATATGAGAATTACAGCTAAATAGCTTTCCTTGTGAGAGTTACTGCACAGAAATAATACACAGAAGTGTTTTCAAGGTTTTTAGTCAGTGGAGACACAAGTGTACACACGTGTAAGCACAAGCCCACGCGCGCGCACACACACACACACACACACACACACAGAGCGAGAGAGAGGAGAGAGATGGAAAGAGAGATCATTTATGGCTTGGTTTTAAGATTAACTCGACCTAGCTCTCAGCTTAGAAGTAAGAAAACAGCATGTCACTGCATGGCAACGTAGCATGTGTCATCTAGTAACATTGGGATCTGCCAATTGGTGCAAGGCCCAGAGAGAAGCTGTAGAGAACCAGTGAGAGATTGACATACAGTAGGTGTTCTTTATGAGCCTTTGGAATTGGGGACTCACAGCTGTGACCATCCTTTATGAACACATGGTTGAGTTGCCTCCTCACTAAGCCTGTTGAAGATTCCTAAAATTTCCCTAGCTACTACAATCTCTGAGAGACTGGAGGTAAGGAATAATTCCCAGGAATGATCTGAGAGTCATAGTTACAGTCGAAATTGAGAGATCTTACCCACCTAACATGTTTTGTTTTCAATCTGGTTTTTAAATTCCCTCTCCCACTCTCCCTTCTCCTCTCTTTAAGACTAGTGGAAAATATGTTAGGCCATATGGTCTCAGATAGGGAATGAAGGAAGCTATTAAAGCTTCACACTGGACACATATTAACATCAAAGAATGAAACAGTCACTCATTCTTTTACTAAGACTCAATTTGATCATTTAGTAATATATGCCTTATGTTATTCCATATGATTATCATTTTAAACCTTTGATAATTAATACATGTTTTAATGTTCTTCATGGAAAACCAAAGAACACAAATGTCATTTTCAATGAAGTTGTCACTTATCTCACTCAAAAAATGAATGGAATTAGATGGATTTTACTGTTACAACCAAGAGGTCTGCTTAGTCTTAGTTCCCGTTTTGCTAGAATGTCCACTATTCAGGACCCCTTGAGAATACAGCATTGTTTCTAGAAATACCCAGTTATAACATACTTCTGCTACCTGGAGTCAGAAAATCATCATGAAGTCTTGGAAATGAATACTAATTGGCCATTTTTTTTCAACAGGAAAACCACAGAGGAGTCCTGTTTGGTTCTCAGATGAAAATAGATATATTACCCAGTTTCCTTGAATATGCTTCAGAATGATAATCACTGGATCAGCCAAGTTTTGAATGGATGTATTTGAGATACTTGCACTCACAACATATGTCATTAATGCAGTAGTGATGGGTTTGGCCTGCAGATGAAACACAAAGGTCCTAAATATCTATTTTCTTATATAATCATTATCAATCTAGAATCGGTGATGTGCTACACAGTTTGGGCATGGAAGTGTGGAAAAAATCACTAAGGGGGAATTTTCAGAGTCATTCAGTGCATCTGTTCTCTTCACGTAAGGCTCAGTGATTAAGGAAACTAGAACAATTCATCCATCCATCCATCCATTTATCTAGAACAAATCTACCCAGCCAATATTGGGTTTGTACCAGCTACTCAGTATTATCCTTGCAACAAAGTAAAACATCCTCTGCTTTGATAATGCTCCAGATCTAAACATTTTACAACCTAACTTGGTTCTAACTCTTGACCATCTTATAAGGAAACCTTTTCTAATAAGGAATCTGAATCCATCATGAGTTAGTTGCAAGCCATTTCATGGTCTATCCCCCATAGATAGAATTAGGTTTATCAACACCCAGCTTGAAACACGTCTTCAAAGATAGTCATCTCCACTCTAGAAGACCACACACTCTGAGGTAGAAGTCCAGACATTATATCCTAGCATGCCTTGCACAGCCTAATATACAGCAGGTATTGTTTCTGTTGGCTCCTGTGATCCAGCTAGTTGGCTAAATGCTTTCCACATGCATATTCTTCAGCTCTCACTGACATCACAAAGCCATTTTTTCATAAACTGAGGCTTGGGCAGGCTTAATACCTGTATGTACAGAGATCACACAGCCAATGAGTGGCAGCATAGGAACTTTGACCTTGTTAATTAGAGAGTCTCCTACCTCTACAAATATGTTGATTTAAAAGTGACAGACTAAAATATATTTATACTGATAGGAGATTCTCTAATTAATAAGGTCAAAGTTTCAAAGGCCTAGACTCCAGAAGGCCAGTTAGCTGAGTGGTTGCCTCCTCTGCTACATATAGAAAACCACAGGTAGGCTGGAGGAAGATGGGAGGGAGATAAAGAAAATCCTCTACAATTTTTCTAAGAAGGCCCAATGTTCAAATAACATCCATTGAAGAGCCTACTGGACAGGGTTAGAAGATACCACTGGGAAAACTGTGCATTAACCACTCCCTAGTCAACTTAAGCACTTGAGTAACCATGAATGTGGTCTTGGTCAACTTGGAAGTGTCCTACTTTCTGTTCATGACCATTTGTGTCCATCCTAAACACTCATGTGATGGTTAATATTGTAACATGACAGAATTTAGAATCATATAGGATATAAACCTCCGGACATATCTGAGAAGCATCATGTAGATTGGGTTGGCCTCTGAGCATACCTTTTAAGAATTATCTAGATTAGGTTAATCGAAGCAGAAGATGCACTCTAAATGTGGGTAGCACCATGCCTTCAACTAGGAGTCCTGGAGTGAATAAAAAAGGAGGGAGCTGGCCAGCACCAGCAGTCATGTGCCTCCCCACTGCAGACACTATATGACGAGCTTTCTCAAGCCTCTGCCACAAGGATTTCCCTACTACGGTGGACTGTACCCTCAAATTGTCAACCAAATTTAACCCTTTCTTGCTTAAGTTCCAACAATTAGACAAAGAACAAATCTACCCTCTGATGACTTAGTGTCCCTTTCTCTTCAGAGTTCCCCAAGGCAGCCTGCTAAAGCGGAACATCAGCAAACCATGATGGTGATAAGGTCTTACTGACATTCAAAACACCAAGTGCTAGCCTAAGCCCTCTGGTTCTTCCAAAGACCTCCTCTTCTCTGGACCATGGGTAACATGAGGAAGAAGGATAGACCAGATGACCTCTAACTATCCTCCAATTTAGCTTAAGGTATACAGTTTTCTGCAGTGGAAAGGCCAAAGGAGGAAATATCCATAATGACCCACTTAACTAACCTCTTCTCTGGATTTATGTTTCTTACCTACAACACAGTAAGCATAGGGGGAGGGGAAATCATTTCTCACTCCTCCAAACTCAAGTTGTACCTGTTATACCTCTGAGCATTTACACAGATATTTCCTCTGTGTCTGCTCTATTCACTCTTCATCTCATTTTGTGACCCCTTCACAGCTGAGAGCTCCCCTAACTCAGGTGGCTCCTGCTCTTCCCTCTTCTACAGTCCCAGAGTCCCTATGCCACAGTGTGCTTGCTCAGTGCCTTTGCTCCTTCCTGAGAGCTGCAGCTGGTAGAAGAAAGGAAGAGGTACAGGATGCTCAAGAGTGGTGTATCGTCAACAATTCCTAAGGTAGTGTGTTGTAATGACCATCAAGATCCCAATCAAAAGAGGTTAGAGGAAGCTGTGTAAAATTAAGGCTACGGAGCTTGGGCACTGACGAGAAATGTGGTTACAGGGTAGCATGTCTTCAGTCATGTACTCCTCGGCCACCAGTGACACAGATCCCAGCCTCATGTCCCTCTTTCGGCGTTAGAAACATCTACTTTCTGTTCTCTTTTAATTCACTGTATTTTCTGTGAGAGCAGACCCTATCTCTCTCTTGCTTAGCACTGTAGCCCTAGCACCCAGCACCCAGCACCCAGCATGCAGTACCATGTAAGACACAGAATAGGAATGAAATGACTATTTACTGAATGAATAAATGATTGGGTGAATAAAAGAATGAATTGTGTCACCTTCAGCAAGTGCCTTCCCCTTCTGGGTCTTGGTGACCTCACTGGCACAATGAAGATATGGAACACTGTGAGTTATGAGGGCCCTTCCAGCTCTGAATTTGATGCCAAGCTGGTTCTAACCCTTCTTCATCCGGCACTATGACGTCTGCAGGCTAATTTTTTCGAAGGTCTTTAGTCTATTTCAATGGAAGGTGCTAGCGAATCAAAATTACTTATTAAGTGTGAAATCTATGCAAAGCAAGTTTATCTCTTATTCTGAGAGGCAAGCGCAGTCCTCTGAAGGAAGGAGGGAAATTAAGACCAAAAATAATGGCATCTCTGATGATACAGAGCAGTGACAAGAATATCAAAAGGTTCAGACAGCTATGAAACACATTTTAAATCATTATTACAAAATATTGTTCACTAATTTTTTCCAGGGTACAGAGAAGAGAGAATGGAGTTATTAATTCTGGGGATGCATCCTGGGTAGGATTTGAACTAAACCTACAGGAACAAATAGAATTTAGCAGGAGAGAAGAATGGTCACAGAATGCCAGGGAAACAGAATGCCTTGCAAACACATTTGGTGGTGATATGGTACACGTAAATTGGTAGGTGCTAAAAGTATCTGCTATATTTTTATCAGACCAGTATAATATCCTCCCAATCAGTCTCTAAATGTTTAACCACTAAGAATTCATTCCTTTGGATAATTCCTTAGAAATCAAGCACATCTGGATAAATTAATGTATTAACTTCAAATATAGGAACCCCAAGGTTGGGGAGATGGCTTAGTAGTTAAGTTCTTTCTGAGCAAGCAAAGGACCATTGTTTGGATCCTCAAAAACCCATGTAAAATGCCAGGTGGGAATGGTGGACAACATGTAATTCCAGCCTTAGAAGGCAGGTACATGAAATCCCCAGCCCAGTCACATTGGCAAGCTCTGGGTTGTAGTAAGAGACATTGCCTTAATAAGTAAGGTGGAAGAACAATTAAGGATGTATCTTGACATCAACCTTAGGCCTCCACATGCGCAGATACACATTCGAATGTGCCGCCCCCACACATACATACATATGTGTGTGCCTGTGTGCCTATACACACAAACATGCATGAACACATATATACATACACACGTACATGAACACACACACACACATACACACACACACACACACACACACACACACACACACACACACAGGGTAAAGAAAGGAAAAACAAATGTTGGAACTTTGGCATTAGACAGCCTGAATTTGATTGCTAACTATACCACTTCATCACTGTGTGACCTTGGGCAAAACTATTTTGCTGAGCCTCGGTTTCCCATAAGAAGTAAATGAGGTAGTAAGCATAAATAGTAACAACTAAAGCTGGGTATGGTGGCACGTGCCTTTAATCCCAGAACTCAGGAGGCAGAAGCTGTATGATCTCTGACATCTTGGTCTACAGGTGTACACAGAAAGTTCCAGGCCAGCCAGAGGTGCATGATGAGAGCATTCAAATTAATAGTGATCCCTGTCATAACCCTTAAGCCAGCTCTGGTTGCTGTCATCTCAACAGCACGATGAGCTAGAGTGGTCATAGGCAGAGAACCAATCCTGCAATAACAACAGCAATGCCAACATTTACTCAGTGCTCAGGATGTGCCAGGCAATAGTGGAAGCACTTTACAGATATTAACTCCTTCAGTCCTTTAACAGGTCCAGAAGGCCCTGTTCCTACACTGTTTCACATTGCAAGAAACTATGGCACGCAGAGGTTGAATCACTTGCCAGGAATCACACAGGTAGAAGACAGCAATGTCAGCTTCAAATCCTAGCATCTGGTCCCCGAGACCATGCCTCACCACTTTTCATTGCCTCTAGCTTAAGGTGAGGTTTAGATCACTCAGAGCTAGGAGCCATGAAAGATGGAGGAGGGAATATTAATAAGCTGAAAAGCAATCTCATCAGGAGAACATGCTGTTCTTTTCTTGCTTTGAAATATCTTAAGGCTCCTATTCGGTCACCAGATAACCCTTAAGGTCCCATCCAAAGCTTAGGAACTGTGAAAATTCAAAAATGTAAAACATCATTAAAGTAGATGTTGATTCATGTGGAGGGCGAGGGGTTGTGCTGAAAGACTTGTAGAATCAATCAGAGCATATTCTAAAATAAACAGAACATCATGAAAATAGCAGGAGTTCATAATTACAGTGAGTCACCATGTCAGTTCATGACAGTTACCAGAGGCAAGAACTTACCTTAAAGAGTGAGGTTTGGCCAAAAAAATTAAACAAGATGGTTTGTAATCCATTAAGAGGAACTTTTTCCCTCAGTGATTGAGGCAAATATATGGAAGCCAGAACCCTCCTTAGAGGGATACCGCCAAGGAAAATCTGCCAGAAAATATCAGAAAATAAAAGCTGGAGGCTTCACCCATCGTAGTCACATCCTCTAGTCCTCCCATCCCAACCAATTCAGAGTTCCCACAGTGGGCTAAAGCTGAGGGGTGGGGCCTGGTTCCATGAGCTACCTACCACACCCTTTCTACACACACACACACACACACACACACACACACACACACACAAATACACATATACACACAAACACATGCACACACAAATACACACATATACACAAACGTGCACACAAAAATACATGCATGCACATAAACACATGCACACACGCAAATACATACATACTCACAAACATGTGCACACGTGCACATACACACAAATACACACACACATGCACACGCACACAAATACTTGCACACACACACACACTTTTTCTTCCAAGGTTCTTTCCCTTTCACCTAAGTCCACACACATGGTGAAAAGAAAAATAACAACTTAGGTGATTTGCCCCAATGTTCAGAAATAAAGGTGAGTTGAGACATCAGGCTACCTTTTCCCATACAGTTCTGAAAGCAAAAACAACAACAAACCACGCAGTAGTATAAGGCACCTGCCGCACAGTCCATTGAGAATGCTTTCACTAAAAGTAAGCCAGGGAAGTAAGGCATTAGCCTTTAGCAATTCTGCTAGAGATTCATGGTTAGAAGGATATGCTGGTTTCATTTGTAATAAATAGTATTTAGTACATACTAGACCATTTTTGAGAATGAAAATAGACTTTATTAAAAATTACACTTGGACCACAATCATAAACCTTAGTCTTTCAGGCAAAAATGGGTGTATGGGCACCTTACATGCATTCTCTTATTTAATATCTTTGTCAAATTTGAGCAGTATGTTGTAGTAGGATATTAGTAAACAGAGTCTCAGGGAAGTTAAAAGACTTATCCAGAGATCATAAAGCCAAGGGGTAACGGAACGAAAACGTGTAATTTAATCCCGTATTTTTCCTATTATCCATGGTGTTGCTCAGTGAGCTGTAACCTAGTCAGGTATAGAGTAAGGGAGGTATGTATGGCAGTGTATAATGTTTGTAGAATGACTTGAACGTAAAACTCATATGGACTTTCTAGCACAGATGACCCATGCTCAGCTGATGACCTTACAGGCCATGATTTAGCTTCAGCATATAGGTAATTTGGTACCAACAATGTGACTAGGGCTGATGGTCTGTTTATCCACTGATGTTTATAATGGAGACTCCATATGTAAACAGGAAGGTCAACACCTGCTTCTAGTATAGCTAAATAGCTCTTAATGGATGAGGAGTTTCCTGCATCTACCAGCTATATAAACTAACGGTCATTTGAAAGCCCAGGAAAATGAGCACTGGCAGATAGATTCTGGATCAGAGGAAGCACTCAGAAAAGGGTAAAAGCACAAGGTGAACCACCTGTTTTTCAGCTGTTCAGCTGATGCTTTGAAGGGCATCTGAAAATGCTTCTAGAGAAATCTACTTATTCTTAGTGGGAAGAATCAGAAGCAAAGGATTGAGAGAACTACAACCATTGGAAGGACAGGATGGGAAACATCTGGGATGGAGAGAGCTTTTAAACTCTGCACAGATTATGTTCCTGGTCTCTGAGTCATATATGCATAGGACAAACTTCAAATAAAGAACAAGGGACTCAACTGAGATTTGAACTGCCACCCAAGACATGGAGTTTACTTTGATTCCAGACAATGTAATCGCTCATTATAACCAAATCAATAGCTTTCAGAGAAATATATTAGAAATGAATTTCCACATAAGAAAATTCACAATGTCCAGAATGTAATCCAAATTTTCTGAATGTATAGAGAAAGACTGCATATGATCCACTTACAAATACAAAGACAATTGGAGGAGAGCAATCTTGAGTGGACCCAGACACTAAAATTAACAGACAGAGCTGGAGAGATTTGTTAAGGGCTAGGCCCACAACCAAAAATAAAATTAACAGACAATGATTTTAAAGTCTCATGTACAGATGTGCTTGGGTATTTAAAATAAAATGTACTTTCAATTAATGCAAAAAGAATGAATAACACTAGAAAAGTAGAAACAACAAAACAATAAGAATAAGAAGGATACAGAGGAGGGAAAGAAAATTCTACGATGACTGTTGGAATATTTTGGTTGTACTAGATGAGTTCAACAATTACATGACAATAACAAATGCCACTGAATTATAAGATACATGAATATAAATTATCCCATCAGGAAAGAGATAATAAAATAATTTAAAAGATGAAGAGAAGCCGTGTGCTGGCGGCGCACACCTTTGATCCCAGCGCCTGGGAGGCAAAGGCAGGCAGATCCCTGTAAGTTCAAGGCCAGCCTGGTCTACAGAGCGAGTTCCAAGAAAGCCAGAGCTACACAGAGAAACCCTGTCTTGAAAAAACAAAACAACAACAAAAAACTGAACAGAATCTCAAGGATTTTGAAGCAGTATTAAAAGGTCACACATACAAGCAATTGGAGTCTCAATGGACAGACAACGTGGTGAAGAAACAAGATCTGAAGAAATAATAAATTATGAATTCACGAAACTCAGCAAATTCCAACAGGATAAATACAAAGAAAGACACACTAAGACACATAATAATCAAACTTCAGAAAAATCAAAGAAAATATTAAAAGTCAATAGGTAGAAATGATATATTCCACATCTCATACAGAAAAAATTCAAATGATACTGATTTCTCACCAGAAGAAAGTTAAGACCAGAAAAGAGTAAAAGATTTTCAAAACATGATGGGGGGATGTCAAATATCCTTTAACAAATAAAAGAAAGACGTTTTCAGAAAAATTAAAACTCAGACAATTCATCACAAGACCTGCCTGGACTATGAGAAAGGCTCAGTGAGGTTTGTGAAGCTGAAGTCAAATGATGCTAGATGGAAGTCCAATAAGTACCCGGGGAATGGGGGGAAACCCTTTCTCTCAACTTCTTTAGCATAGTTGCAGATGCTCTTAATTCCAGAACTTGGGAGGCAGAGGCAGGTAGATTTCTATTAGTTCAAGGCCAGCCCAGGCCACATAGTGAGTTCCAGGGCAACCAGGGCTATATAATGTGAACCTGTCTCAAAAAACTCAAATAAATAAATAAACAAATAATCATGAAATTCTCTTGTAAAGTCTATAGTCTTCCTTGGTTAAAAAAAATAACCAACAGAGCAATGAAAGAGATATCTTGATGAAGGGAGCTGTTATGGGGTTAGGGAGAACTTGGTGCCAGGGAAGTTCCAGGAATCCACAAGGATGACCCCAGCTTAGACAACTAGCAACAGTGGAGAGGGTGCCTGAGCTGGCCTTCTCCTGTAATCAGATTGGTGACTACCTTAACTGTTATCATAAAGCCTCCATCCAGTAACTGATGGGAGATGATGCAGAGATCCACAGCCAAGCACCAGGCCAAGCTCTGGGAGCCCAGTAGAAGAGAGGGAAGAGGGATTCTATGAGCAAGGGGGGAGGGGGTCAAGATCATGATGGGGAAATCTACAGAGACAACTGAACCAAGCTTATAGGAACTCACGAACCTTAGACCGACAGCTGTGGAACCTGCATGGGACCTGACTAGGCCCTCTGCATACGGGAGACAGTTGTGTAGCTTGGTCTGTTTGAGGGCCCCTGGCAGTGGGATCAGGATCTATCCCTGGTGCATGAGCTGGCTTTCTGGATCCCATTACCTATGGTCAGACACCTTGTTCACCCTTGATGCAGTGGGGAGGGGCTTGGTCCTGCCTCAACTGAGTGTACCAGGTTTTGCTGACTCCCTATGGGAGCCCTTACCCTTTTGGAGGAGGGAGATGGGGGTTGAGTGGTGGGGTGAGGGAGGACAATGCTGGGGGAGCGGAAGGAGGGATGAGAGGGGGATCTATGGTTGGTACGTAAAATGAATAAAAAAATTCTAAAATAAAAAAAAACCCACATATGAAAATTAGAAAATAGAGAACAGGGAATATTAAGTAGGTATTTATGGTTTAAAATTCCTACTTTTTTGTGAAGCAGCCAATATTAACTCTAACTAGACTATGAAAGTATTAAGTTGTATATTTTAATCTCTAAAGCAAACATTAAGAAAATTGTGTAAGATGTGTGTTTGGATAGTTTCATGTCAACTTGATACAAGCTAAAGTCATCTGAGAGGAGGAGACTTCAATCAAGAACATGTGTCATAAGATGGGGCTGTACACCAACCTGTAGGGCATTTTCTCATTTAGTGATCAATGCGGGAGGGCCCAGCCCAATGTGCTGGTGCCATCCCTGGGCTGGTGGTACTGGGTTCTATAAGAAAGCAGGCTGACAGCCTTGTTTACTACCCAAGGGAGGCCTTACCCTCTATGAGGAGGGGATGAGATGGGATGGGGGTAGGCGGCGCAGGGAGCGGGGGAACAGGAAAAGGGGAGGGAGGCGGAACAGGTGTTGGTATGTAAAAGGAAAGGAAAAATTGAAAATAATAAAAAATTGTTTTCCAATAAAAAAAGAAAGAAAGAAGGCTGAGCAAGTCATGGGAAGCAAGCCAGTAGCAGCACCCTTCCATGGTCTCTGCATCAGCTCCTGTCTCCAGGTTCCTGCCCTGTTTGAGTTCCTGTCCTGACTTGCTTCAATGTTGGACTACAATATGGAAGTATAAGCCAAAGAAATCCCTTCCTCCCTAACCTGCTTTTGGTCATGGTGGTTAATCAGAGCAATAGAAACCCTAAGACAATGTGATAGAAAGGTATATGCTGCTGGTAGAAATGTAACATAGTTCAGCTCCTCTGGACATCAGTATGGAAGTTTCATCAGAAACCAAAATAGTACAGCCGTATTATCTATCTATCCCATCCCTGAGTATATACCCAAAAGAATCAAAGTCACATGTAGGACAGATATCTGTACACCCATATTTATTGTGATACTATTCACAATAGCAAAGATATTGAATCAGCTGAGGTAACCACTGACATATAAATGGATTAAAATTGTAGTTATATGTGCCCAATAAAAT